GGGGGGGGGGGGGCCCCCCCGGTCCCTGCCCCCGCCGATTTTGGGGGGGGGTTTTGCCTCAAATTCGAGGTTCCCCCCCCCCCTCGCTCGCTCCTACACTTACTCGTTTTGGGGATAAAAGTCTAAATTTAACCATTCCTGCTGCTGGTTTTGGAGAAAAAACCTGAAAACATGATTATTGTCCCCTCCCCCCGCGCCTGCTCCAGCCCCTCCCTCCGCGGGGTTTTTGGGGGGGGGGTTTACTTTTTTTTTCTCTAAGGAAAGCTCCTGGAGCCACATTCCTGCTCTTCCAGCTTCACTTTGGGGCAAAAAAAGCTTCTTTTTGATGCTGCTGACTCTTCCTACTTGCGGCTGTGGAAAGGGTGGAAAACACCCCAAAACCGCCCCCTCCCCACCAAAAACCGACCTCCCCAAAAAATGAAATTAAATCGACTCTTACTTCTCTGAATTCCCCAAATCTGGGGGTTTTCTCCTCAAATCCCTGCCGGAATCTCCTGAGCGCGTTTTGAGTGCAGACTGGCCTTTTTTTGGTTAAATCCTTTCTTTTTTTTTCCCTTTCCTCGGCTTTTTCTCACCGTTTTTTTGCCTTTTTTCCCTGCGTTTTGCTGCTTCCCTGAGGGGGAAAAACACTCGAGACACCCCCACCCCAAACCCCCCCCCCAAAAAAAAATACAAAACATTTCTTTGATCATTTCTCTCCCTTCTCTTTATCACCGGCCCCTCCCGCGCGACGCCTTTGGGATAAAAACAGAAGATTTCGGACACTTACTGAGCGGCGCCGGCGGGAGCGGCGGAGCCGGAGGGCGCTGGAGGAATTTGGGGGGTTTTCCCCATTTCTGGGGAGTTTAATAGAAAAAGGGGAAAGGGGAGGGGCGACAGCGGCGGCGCCTGCAACGACAAAACCCCAAAACCCCCCAAATCCCCCCAAAATTCCCAAACCCCCAGAAGGGGGTGGGGCCTCACCCGGCCGCTGCCTCCGGCTCCGTTTGGGGCATTTTCCTCAAATTCCTGAATTTTCCCAGCTTCGGGGCTCAAATCGGGATTTTTCTTCCTTTTTCTCCCTTTATCCTTCTTTTTTTCATTATTTTTCGCTTCTATTTTCTCCTCTAAATCCTCTTTGATTTTCTCTCCTTTTTCCTGTCTTCTATTCTCTTCTATTTTTTCTCTCTTCACATTTTTTCCCTGTTTTCTTTCACTTCCATCTTCTTAAATTTTCATCACTTGGGTTTTTCTTTTTTTTCTATAATTTTCTATTTTCTTTTTTCTTTTTTCCCAATTGTACTTTTTCCAATTGTATTTTTTCTATTTATTTACAGTCTATTTTAATTTTTTATATTTTTTTCTAGTCTTCTATTTTTTCTCTTTTCTAATTTCTTCTATTTTCTCCAATTTTCTATTTTTATTTTTTTCTAGTTTCTTCTCTTTTCCAATTTTCTTCTCTTTTTTTTCTATTTTCTTTTTTCCATTTTTCTATGCTTTTTCAATTTTCTTTTTTTTCCCAATTTCTAATTTTCCAATTTTTTTCTATTTTCTTTTAATTTTCTATTTTCTTTTTTTCTGATTTTCTTCTATTTTCTCTTTCTGTTCTATTTTCTTTTTGTCCTGTTTTTTTTCTCTCTCTTCTCTCTGCTCCTCCCCTGCCCAACTGCCGCCATTTTACCAAAAAGTCCTTTTTTTTCCCCCCAGATGGGGCAACTGCGAAGAAAAACTTTCCCTGCCGACTCCATCTTCACTCTTCAGTTTTCCTGCTCTTCCCTCAAAATTGGCTCCTCTCAATCCATCCTGAGCCTGAAAATGCCGCATTTCACCCCAAACCGGCCGCCCCCGCCTGCGCTGCCCGGCCCGGCCCCGCTTGGGGACAAAACTACATTTTTTAAAGCTTCAGGAGCTTTTGTTTAAAAAATAAATTTAGGAGCTTTTTTAGCAGAAAATAGCGTATCAAGCGCTTTTTCTTTCTTTAAATTAAAGCAGCTTAAAAAGCTCTTTTTTAAAATTAAAACCGCCCCAGCTCGCTCCGGCTTTTCGAAAATATCACATTACGATATTTTAAGAATTAAAGAGCTGCGAGAGCTGCGTTTTCTCCCAGAAATCGGCTTTGAAAGCAGCGATTTCTTAAAAACCAGCATCAGAAGCTTCGGTTTAAATAAAAACCAGCTTTAGGAGCTTTTCTAAGGTTTTTCATTCATTTTTTCAATTAAAAGCGCCCCGGATGGCCCCGGCTTTTCCCATTACTGGAATCGCCGCAATTTAAGGATTTTTCTTGAAAGCAAGCAGCTTTAAGAGCTCAGTTTTCCTTAAAGGAAACAGCTTTTATCTCTTTTCTTTAAATAAAGATTTATGAGCCGCTTTTATGATATAAAGCAGCCTTAGAAGCTCTTTCTATAAAATCTCGCAGCTTTAAGAGCTTTCTGTAGGCAATAAAGCCGTTTTTGGAGCTCTCGATAGAAAATAAAGCCATTCTAGGAGCTTTTTTTTGTATAAAATCGAGAAGCTCTAAGAGCTTTGGGCTCAGAATCGAGCGATTTTGGGCCGAATTGGGGCCGCTTCGGGGCTGGTTCTCGGCCGGGCGCTGCCGGCGCGGGGCCCTCCCTTATAAACGGCCCAGAACCGCCCCCGCGGGGGCGACAAAATAGTCCCTAAAATCTCCAAAAAAGGGCAGCACCCCCAAAATCGCCCCTCAAAATTCACCGCCCCCAGCGTGAAAAAGCTTATTTTCTCATTATTTCCCCTTTTTTACCATTTTCTTTGATTTTTTTCCCTCACGAACTGCGCCCCCCCTCCCCCTCATCAGGCTGTGGGCCTTTGGCAGGCCCACGCGGTCCAGCGCGAAAGTGGTTAAATTTAACAGCGATTTTTCGTTCGGTTTGGCCAGTTCTGCCCTAAAATCCCCGGCTTTGACCTTCCCGGGTGGTTTTAGAGCATTTTTTTTTTGTTTGTTTGGGTTTTTTTTAATTTTACACTCGTTTTGGCTTTTGCTGCGTCACGGGGTTGGGCCGATGCCAAAAAGGCGCCGTTTCTCCTCGAAAGGGTCACAAATCTTGGGGGGGGGGGGGAAAAAAACTTCTTTAGGGGACACAGACCCGAAACCCCCCAATTTTCTCCAATTTTTTTATTCCCCCAAAACCCCCAGCGACCATTTTATAACCCTTTTTTTTCATCCGGGAACGGCACAGCTTGAACCACCATCTTTATTTCTTTTTTTTACGACAGAAATGCATCAAAATCTCTTATGTTTCACCCCACTTCAGGCCATACCGAGTCATGGACGTCCCTGTTTTCAATAAAGGGACTAAACCCCATGATTTTAAGGAAATTTTAGGCATTTTTAGGCATTTTGAGGCGTTTCCGGACAGGAAATGACACCCCAAAAATGCTGGAAGGGAGGGGACAACCCCCCCTCCCCAACTCTCTAATTATCATTCATTAAAGCTGCTCTGAGGCTAATTAAAGCTGCTGACGAAGTTAATGAGGCATTTTGGGGGTGTGGGAAGAGCTGTTCCGACATTTTCGGGGCGTTTCCTTTGGGATAAACTATTTCCTTATTGTTATTAATTATTTTCTGTGTTATTCCACTACTGAGATCTTCAAATGTAATTTCCCCCCCCATCATTTCAGCTGTTGGAAAAGGTCTCCCCACAAAATAACGTGAATTTTGGGAAAATTTAGCTCAATTATATTTTTTACAGCAATAATCAGCCAATTTGCAGCTGGTTTAAGTTAAAATTTTAAATTTAAAATAATTTTAGAAACTCTGACATGGCCAAAGTTCACGTTTTCTGCATGAAAATACCCCAAAAGCTGCTTTTTCACAGGGGCTGGTCCTGGAGGGGGCTCTTTTAAGGTACTGTCTATGAAAAAGGTGAATCACATTTTCACCAAAGTTGTTTTTTCAGGGAAAAAAAAAAGAGGGAGGATTAATTTCAAAAATTATTTCGGCAGCAATAATAAGTTCTAATTTTTTTTTAAACCTAATCCCCCTGATTTCAGCTTGATTTTATTTTCTTGCTTCTGACACGCCTAAAATTCATTTTTTTTAGTGGAAATGCCTCCAAAAACTATTTTTTCCTCAGGAGCTGAGCCTGGAGAGGCCATTTTAAAGCATTTTCCTCTGTAAAGATGCTCTGAATCCAATCTTGTGCGCTTCTTAGGAATAAAATGGAGTAAAAAAATCAGGTTTTTTGTTTTTTTTTTTTCAGGTGGGATAGCACTAAAAGTTGTGAAGAGCTTCAGCAGGACTTTAAGGTCACTTTAAGCCATTTTTGCGGCACAGGATGCAGGTTTTGCCCTCAAAAATCACCTCTAAGCCAAACTCTGCAGCTTTTCAGCTGATCTTTTAAACCAAAAGGCCCCATTTTTAACCCAAACTAGGAGGTTGTCCCTCTACTCACCCCAGCTCCCTTTCTCAGAGAATTTTGGAAGAAAAAACACCTCAGTTCTTCACTCTAAACCCACCATTTCCTCGAGGCTTTTCCAGCTGGTTTAAAACGAACCCTTTTCAGCGGCTTTTCACACAAAAATTACCTCACGAAAAGCGGCGCGTACGGGGGCACTTCATCGCACCCCCTCCCCCTCAAACTGCCGCTAAACGTGCACAGACCCCCTCCCCCCACTCGCTCCCCTCCCCCACAGCTCCGAATTTCTTTCTACCCCTCCCCCACCCCCATTTACAGGCAAAAAAAAAGGGATTTGGGGGCGGGAGCGGCCGCGGAGGGATCCGGCGGAGGGACCCGCGGAGGGAGGCGGTGTGAAGTGAACCCGGTCACGTGGCCGGCGGAGGGATCCGCGCGCGGAGTGATCCGAGAGTGACGCGTCAATGGGCGGGTCCGCACCGAGACCCCGCCCCTCAGCAGGCGCCTCCCTTCGCTTTGCCGCAGTCGCCGCGGGGGCGGCGCCGGGGGCGGGAGCGCGGCGCCATCGCTCCGTTCTCCCCGCATTGGGCGGGGGAGGGGTCGAGTCACCTCCGTCGCGTACGGAGAGACTGAACAGTTAAAAATACCCACCCTTTTCTCCTTGGTTTTACCTCAGAAAAGCTCGAGTTGCTTCAGGTAAATCTCACTTGCCTCAGAAATGACCGATTTCCCTGAGAAAAATGTCTGGTTTCCTTCAAGAACCTCTGATTTTCCTCATCAATGTCTCTCATTTCCCCCTGGGACGTCTGGTTTGTCTCAGAAATGTTTGATTTCCCTCAAGAAGTGTCCGATTTGCCTCAGAAATGTCCTGTTTGCCTCGAAAATGTTTTATTAACGGCATCAATGTCTTACCTCCCTCAGAAATGTCCCAATTTGTATAAAAACCGCTTCATTTCCCTCAGTAACTTCCCGATTTGCCTCAGAAGTGTCTCATTTCCCTCAGAAATGTTAAGTTTTGCCTCAGAAAATGTATTATTTCCCTCAGAAAATTTCCTTTTATTCAGCCATAACCCGCTCCCCCCTCCAAAATGGCGCCTCCCCACACAACAGCCTCGGGAGGCGGGAGGACTCGCATCCTTCACGATTTCCCTCAGGAAACATTTATTCCAAAACATTTCTTTATCCCATCAAATATTTATATTTTCTTCCTTTTTCACTTTGTAAACGATGGGTTTTAGAGCAGTTTCTCCGTGTTCTTTAAGCCCCGGCAAGACCTACCCCTCCCACACACAAAATCCTCACTGGTTCTCCCTTAAAAAATCCTTAAATTTCAAAAAGCACCTTAAGAAAATGAAGTTATTCGGGACTGAGGCGGTTTTGCTGCAGAGTGGAGGCGTGTGGAGTTTATGGTTAGGAAATGTGATATTTTGGTTAAACACGGCCCTGCTGGGCAGGGAAATGGGGTTAAATAGTGAAATAGGGGGATTTGGGGTGGGTTTGTGAAGGTCCCGAATGGACAATGAGCGATGCCCCCAAATCAGCAGGACTTGCCCCGACGTTGATGGAATTTGTCCCAAAGGTCTCGTTAGTGCTAATGAGGGGGACTCCCCACAACACAAAACCCCCTGACAGGTGACAAGTGTGACACCCGCGTGTCCCCGAGACCCCAGCCCGAAATTGCCGCTGTCACATGGGGCCACCATTTGGCACTGTTGGCCACAAACCCCCCAGAACTGGCCCCAAATTGCTGTGGCTTGCCTCAAACCCCCCCAGAATGGACCCCAAGCTGCCTGGAATAGGCCCTAAAACCCCCCCAGAACTGGCCCCAAAACAACCCAACTCCACTGAAAGTGGTCTCAGACCTCCAGAAACTGGCTGGAAAATGCCCCGCATTATCCAAAATCGGTCCCAAATATCCCAAACTAGCTCAAAACTGCCACAAATTGCCCCCAAACGCCCCAAATAAGTTGCAAGCCTCCATGATTCAGCTTTGATCTGCCCCAAATCCCCCTGAATCATCCCCAAACTGGTTCCAAACTGCCTCAAACTGCTCTGGATTTTCCCCAAAAGGCCCCAAATTCCAAACCCTGCCTGGGGAGAGGGGGCGGGTGTGGGCAGTGCAGTTTATTGGGGGTGTGAGTACAAAGAGGGGGAGGTCTCGGGGGCTCTCAGTGCTCCCAGTCTGAACTGGGAAGGGTTTGGGGGGCCCGGGGGGGCTCAGCCCTTCTCGGACCCGGCCCCCCCCGTGGCCCCCCC